GGTAGTCCAAGATAGAAGTAGAATAGAAAATAGAATATAATAGAAAGAAATAGAAAGTAGAAATAGAAAATATTATATAAAAGAAAGAAATATTAATTAGCCCCACGTGGCAATTTTTATTTGGTTTGGTAGTAGTTGAGGAACCACCACTTATATAGTATGATATATAATAATAATATATATATATAGTATGAAGTATGATGATGATATATAGTAGTATGATGATGATATATAGTAAGTAAAAAAAAAATAAAAAAATAGATCGAAGTAGAATAGAAAATAGAATATAATAGAAAGAAATAGAAAGTAGAAATAGAAAATATTATATAAAAGAAAGAAATACTAATTAGGCCCACGTGGCAATTTTTGATTGGTTTGGTGGTAGTTGAGGAACCACCACTTATATAGTATGATGATGAATATATATATAGTAAGTAAAAAATAATAATAAAATAGATAGAAGTAGAATAGAAAATAGAATATAATAGAAAGAAATAGAAAGTAGAAATAGAAATATAATAATAATATATATATATAGTATGAAGTATGATGATGATATATAGTAAGTTGGTAGTCCAAGGGAACCACCACTTATATAGTATGAAGTATGATGATGATGAAGTATGATGATGATATATAGTAAGTAAAATAATAATAATAAAATAGATCGAAGTAGAATAGAAAATAGAATATAATAGAAAGAAATAGAAAGTAGAAATAGAAAATATTATATAAAAGAAAGAAATACTAATTAGGCCCACGTGGCAATTTTTGATTGGTTTGGTAGTAGTTGAGGAACCACCACTTCTATAGTATGAAAATGACGGGAATACCCTTGGTAGTCCAAGGGAACCACCACTTATATAGTATGAATGATGATGATGAAGAAAGAAATATTAATTAGCCCTACGTGGCCATTTTTGAATAGATCTCAATTAAAAATATGGTTACACATCTTTTATTGAGATGCTTGAACGAAATTCAAGGATGCGGTGACGCACCTTGGCCATATTGTCTTAATAATTAACTTTCTTTATTTAAATTAAAGACTTATAGACAAAATCATTAGGTGTGGTGCGAAGAAGACAATTATGTCTGTAAGGGTCAAGATCGAGAATGCAGTTATGCATCCGGTTTAAGATCAATAAAATTCAACAATAAATAAAAAATGTGAGCAAAATTGTAGCCTATAATAATATATCCAAAAAATAATTTAAGGTAAGTACAAGTCAATAAAAAGCGACCGTGCTAGAACCACGGGACTCGAGGG